TTTTATTTGAAGAGTTGAAGCAGTTACTTCTCATGATGAACTTCTGCCATTTTGCTATTATGTCTTCTTTTTTGTTCCTCAGTTTCTCCATTATTGTCTTCTTTTGTTTTTAGTTGTTTTCTTTTTAAATACCATTTTGATTTCCTTTCCATTACCTTTTATGTATATTTTTTATTTATTTTCTTTGTGATTACCTTTAGGGTTACAATTAACATATTAAACTTAAAACAACCTGGTTTGAATTAAAACCAACTTACATTCAATAGTATGAACTATGCTCCTATATATCTCCATCCATCCCCCTTTTCTATGTATTATTGTCACAAATTACATCTTTATAAATTGTAAGTCCATTAACATAGTTTTATAATTATTGTTTTATGTGTTGTCTATTTAATTTCATATAGGAAAAAAGAGGAGTTACAAACTAAAAATATAATACTATCGGCTTCTATATTTACTTATGTAGTTACCTTTACCAGTGTTTTTTATTTCTTTATTTGGCTTCACTTTACTGTCTACTGTTATTTCATTTCAAAATAAAAGACTCCCTTTAGCATTTGCAATAGAACAGACCAACAAGTAATGAACTCTTTCAGCTTTCATTTATCTGGAAATATCTTTAATTATCCTTCATTTTTTTGGATGATAGTTTTGATAGGTATGGAATTCTTGGTTGCCATTTTTTTTTTCCCCTTTCAGTTCTTCAAATATATTATCCTTCCGGCCTCCATGGTTTCTGCTGAGAAATTGGCTATTGATCTTAATGATAATTTCTTGAATGGGACAAATTGCTCTAGTCTTTGTCTTTTAGCAATTTGATTATAAAGTGTCTTGGTGTGGCTCTCTTTGAGTTTTCCTACTTGGAGCTTCTTTGATGTGCTGCTTCCTAATCTTTTACCAAATCTGGGGAGTTTTTGAACATTATTTCCTCAAATTTCTGCCCCTTTATTTCTCTCATCTGTTTCTGGATCTCCCAGTATGCATATGTTGGTATTCTTGATGATGTCCCACAGTTCCCTGAGGCTCTCTCTGTTCATTTTTCTTCATCCTTTTCTCCTTCTGTTCCTCCAGACTTGATCATTTCAATGGCCCTATCTCTACGTGTTCTCATTCTTTCTTCTGCTTCTTCAAATCTGTGGCTAAGCACCTCTAGTGAATTTTTCATTTCAGTTATTATACTTTTCAACTCCCAAAATTTCTATTTGGTTTCTTATCATTTTTGTCTCTTTATTAATATTCTCTGTTTGTTGAGACACTGTTATTCTGGTTTCCTTTAGTTCTTTGTCCATATTTTCCTTTAGCTCTTTCAGCATATTTAAGATAGTCCATTCAATGCATTTGTGTAATAAATCCTATGTTTGTGCTTCCTCATGCACAATTTCTGTTAATTTCTTTTTTCCTTTCAATGGACCTTATTTTCATGTTCCTTGGCATGCCACATAACTTTGTTGAAACCTAAACATTTTGAGGATTGTAACGTGGCAACTCTACAGAATCGCTCTCCTCTGCAAGATTTCCTGTTGTTGCTTGCTATGGGTTGCTTGCTATTGGTTAATGACTTTTAAAAACTGTTTTTTGTGAAGACTGTACTCTTTGTCATCTGTGATCTCTGAAGTGTCTATCCTTTAGCTTAATGCTCAGCTAGTGGTTTGAGATTTTCTAAATGCCTGGAGTTAAAAAAAAGAGAAAGAAAAAGAAAGAAAGAAAGAAAGAAAGAAAGAAAGAAAGAAAGAAAGAAAGAAAGAAAGAAAGAAAGAAAGAAAGAGAAAGAAAGAAAAAGGAAAGGAGAAAGAAAGAAAAGAAAGAGAGGAGAAAAGTTAAAAGGGGCACCTGGATGGCTCAGTGACTTTAGCATCTGACTTTGGCTCAGGTTGTGATCTCAGGGTCCTGGAACTGAGCCCCGGGTGAAGCCCACATCTGGCTCCAAGTTCAGCAGGAAATCTGCTTCTCCCTCTCCCTCTTCCTCTGCTCCTTTCCCCCCACCCTGCTCATGTGCACACTCTCTCTCTCTCTCACTCTCTCAAATAAATTAATAAAATCTTTTTTAAAATTTAGAAAAGTTAAAAAAAATACTCTCAGGTCTTTGCCAATTGGCTCTGTGTTGGGGCATTCTTTCTATGTTTAGGCGGGCTATTTATAACTCTGCCTCCAGGGGCACCTGTGTGGCTCAGTTCTTGTGCGTCTGCCTTCGGCTCAGGTCATGATCGCAGGATCCCTGCATCAGGCTCCCTGCTCCACGGGAAGCCTGCTTCTCCCTCTCCCCCTGCTTGTGTTCCTTCTCTCTCTCTCTATCTCAAATAAATAAACAAAATCTTTAAAAAAAAAATAACTCTGCCTCCAGTTCCTGCTCGTGCTGAGCCTTGACAAAGGAAAGTTTCAACTTTTAATGTTTGTGGGCCCTACTCCTGGGCTCCCAGGGAAGCCACACTTTAATTTTTACCAAGATCAGAATGACTTAACCAAACTTCAAAGCAGAGGCCCTATTTCTGCCCCAGCACACATTGTACATCTGCTTTGTTAGCAAATAATCTAAAAAAAAATTTCAACTAAAAAAGTAAAAATCTCCCTAAATTCTATTCCCATACCTCCAAAGCCTACAAGATTGCACTTACCAAAGGCATAAGATAAAGTTTATAATTTTCTGGAATGTCCTTCCTCATGATGATTTATAATCTTGGTGTAACAACAACAACAACAAAAACCATATATAACCCTGTATTAAACATTTTTTCTCCAGAGCACTCTCTTCTTTGTGAAGATTGTGTATCTGGGGCAGCTGTCCTCACTTGGGCTCAAATAAAACTCTCTCTTTTTTTAAGAAATTCTAAAAGGTTTGTTTATTTTGCATTTGATGCGGGATTGTCAAGTGCAACAGTGAAGAAAGAATTCTTGAGACATTTTATGGTGCAAAAAGGTGTTTTTATTAGAGCATAGGGACAGACCCATGGGCAGAAAGAGCTGTATTGTGATTGTAAGGAGTGACTGATTATACAGGGTTTTCTATCCTAAGGAGGTGAAGGTGTCATTAGGGCTCCAGGAAATTGAGTCTATAGGTTCCTGGAGATCCAATTATTAAGACTGTGTTTTTCTTGTAAATCATTAAGACAGTTAAAAATTATAGTGGAGTTTCATGTCCTGCATGACTGTGATATTTATCAGTTGACCATTTGTTTCTCTCCTGCCTTTTTTCTTAGGCAGTCACCAGTGCCTGAGGAATGTTAAACGTGGGGTGTCAGCTCCTGTTTTGCCCTCAGCTTGCCTTTTGCTCTCTCATCAGCTTCAACAGCCTAAAGATCAGCCAGAATTATAATCTTATGTGTTCTCAAGTCTTTTCTGAGCATGAGTCCTGGGCAAGTGTGATGCTTTCTAGATGCCCCCGTATACACAGGAGTTTTCCAAAGCCCTTATTCCTCCAAAAAATCACACTCCTGGCTTTTCTTCTCATGCTTTTCCTCCTAGTCCTTCAGCCTGTCCTTTGCCCCAACTGTTTTTTGGGTTTTGTTGCCCCAAGCAGTAGTTGGTTCATTTGCGTTTCACTGTTTTTGAACATTACATTCCCTAAGCAGCTGTTTTTGTGCCCTGAGAAAATTTGAGTTAGGGAAAACAAAGGTAAGCCCATAGTATCAGTCCCTCACAGAACCCCCACACAGGTCAAAACAAACATAATTCCTTAAGACAAAGTCTCTGTTCCCTCCAGAGCCAGATTATCCAAGCTGGGAATGAAGGCTGGCAAAGGTAATGAAGCTAGAATAAGTGAAAACATGTAAACATCTCCTGCCTGGTTTCAGTTGCCTTTTTCCTGGCTGCACATTTGCTTGTTTGCTGTAAACCTTTGACTATCTTTTGCGGTCTGATAAGGTGGTTTCTGACAGTTTATGCCGGGTTTTAAAAATGTTTTTGGGAAAGGATGGACCCTGGGGCTCCCTACTATACCATTTTTGCTGAAGTCAGCTAAGTTGATTCTTACACCATCCAAAAGGTAATGATGAAAGTACCTTGTCTACAATCCCTGAGTAATGAATAGAAGAGTCAGAATTCAAATCCATACCCTCTCTACATCTCTTCTATTCTCATTTAATTCAGTATCTGGGGAATTTTATTGTTTCCTATTATTCTCCCTCCCCACTCAATGAATCTCAGCCCCCACCTCTTTGGAATGGCAGATCTACATTTATAACTACTTGAGAACAGTACCTTACTAGCTTCAAATTCAGGAAGTCCTAAACTAAATTCATTATCTTAACCTCCCGCTTCTCCATTCTCAAACCTTCCCGAAATTTGCTTCTTACTTGCTTCCGGGAATTTCTCTCACTTCTCAGTTAAATGGCAGCACCATCCACCCACTTTTACCAAACTCCCAACTTTGGAGTTAACCTCATTGGCCAAATCCTGCCTGAAAGATGGAACTGAAAAATTCCTGAACCCTTGGGGCGCCTGGGTGGCTCGGTAGGTTAAGCCTCCGACTTTGACTCAGATCATGATCTCAGGGTCCTGGGACTGAGCCCCCTTCAAGCCCCCGTAGGCTCCACGCTCAGGAGGGAGTCGGCTTGAGGATTCTCTCCCTCTGCCCCTCCCCCTGCTTGTGATCTCTCTCTCTCAAATAAAATCTTTTTTTTTTTTTAGATTTTATTTATTTATTTGACAGAGAGAGAGAGAGCACAAGCGGGGGGAGCACCAGGCAGTGGGAGAGGGAGAAGCAGGCTTCCCACCGAGCAGGGAGCCTGATGCGGGGCTCGATCCCAGGAACCTGGGATCATGACCTGAGCCGAAGGCAGACGCTTAACGACTGAGCCACCCAGGCGCCCCTCAAATAAATAAAATCTTTAAAAAAAAAAAAATCCTGAATCCTCAGTCTGATCCAGGAAGAGAAACTCTACCCGAGCCCAAAGCCTAATCCCGGAGCAGCCCCTCAATCCTCCGCCACGCAGCGCTCGGCCTCTGGAGGCAGCCTTGGGCGGGCTTCCGGCAGCGCTCTTACAGACACTGCCTGCCGGGCCGCGCCTCAGGTCAGCGCCGGGAGCCTGGAGCCCGGAATCCGGAAGCAGTCGGTGCGGGAGCTCTGGTAGCCGGGAGTGCCAGTAGCGGGGAGCGCCGGGAGCCGGGAGCGTCAGACGCGAGGAGAGTCCCGAGTCTGGAGCGCCAGGAGCCGCGAGCGTCGGGAGTGGGCCGGATCCCCTGGCAGGTGCGTCGGCGCCGCTGGCTAGACCACCAGGCCCGGCACAGGCCGGGCCCCGTCGGCGGTCCGGGTAGTCCTGGCCAGGAGGTGGCCGCGTCGACTTCCTTCCGGAGCGGGGGACTCAGCTCTGTGCCGCCGCTGTCCGTGGTTGCGTAGTTGTCTTGACCGCGCTGGTTGCTGTGGGACTGGAGGCGCGCTCCTGCAGCCCGCGCCGTCGGGGGAGTTGGCGTGTTCTCGTGCGGGTCGCCGGCCCAGGTGACAGGACACAGGTGGGGCCGCCAAGGAGAGCGGGTGCTCAGAGCCGGGTCTCTGGGCGCGCCCGGGGCTCAGGGAAAGTGAGCAGATCGCTTACCTTCGTTTTCCCTAACTTCCAGTAGGCAGACACCCTGTCTTCTTCAAATGAGGTATTCTTAAAGTTAGGTTTGGGAAAAGGAAACTTTTTCCAAAAAATGCAGTATTTTGGTGAATAACCAGGGAATGTAATTTGACCTCAAAATTAGAAATACCATGATAGAAACATTTAATGTGCATGTTGAAGATCAAAGTTGAAAACTTGGAAATCCGTTAAATACTTCCTGCGGGGAATGCCCAGTGACTCAGCTGGAGGACTGAGTTGGTCCAGAGTAACACGGCGCTGCTGAATGTTCAAACTTTTGATTCTGGGTTGCAAAATAACAGTAAACATATAAAAATATATAAAGCGAAGTGTTATGATAAAGGAGAAATTCACTCTCCATATGTGCATGTTGCGGATAGAGTAGCTGGAATTTGTGAGGAGGAGCTCAGGGAGTTTCTCAGGAGCTGGGGAGGTGTGCTCTTGTCCTGTGCGCGTAACACAGGGCCTGATGGATGGAAGACACTCCGAAATCTGATATGTACACAATAAGGTCTGATGACCACATGAATGAACGCTGACTGTGTAGGAGAAGTTTGGAAATGAGGGAGAGACTGGTGGCACATGTTAAGAAAGCTGCTAGCCAGGAGAGGCCACACATTTAAGAGAGACTCCATATACAGTCTGGAAGAAGACAGAAGTCAAGGCCTGACTTGAGATTTCATAGAATTTTTTTTTAAAGCATTTTATTGATTTTAATTACATGCATGCTTTTCTTCTGTAAACAGACAATAAATTTTTGTAGATTGTCTTGATGTGTTATCTTTATTTTGGATTTCCTCTATGTGAAACCAGTGAATATAACTAAGCGTTAGTGGGTTGGAGGAAAAGAAACTGGTTATTAGGCAAGAACAGGGCTGTAGTTATCCAGGACTTTCAGTGATGCAGACGGGTATATTTTGCAGGTTTATAGGTCAGCACCTTCACCTT